AGGGATGGTGGGGATGGGGAGCAGGACGAGCTGGAGGAGGCCAGCAAGCTGCTGGTGAAGGTTCTGCACGTCTCCGAAAACCCAGCACCCTTGGTGGTGAAAGCAAGCCCAGGTGTCAGGGATGTTCGCCCCTTCATTGTGTGCTGCGTGCTGAAGGGAGTCGACTTAAAGCCGGGAAACGCTCTGAAGAGGTTCCTGTCTGCGCAGGTAACTGCTGCGGTCTCGTGTCTGCGGTGGGAACGTTGCTGGCAGAGCGGGAAGTGAACTGTTGTGGGCTCCTTCCAGCAGTCGAGTCTCTGAAACATGGGAATGGTGGGACGAGGCCTCTCTGGCTCAGTCCCTGCCAGCAAACTGGTTTTCCCAAAGAACCCAATGGGAGCTTGGATACTACCGTGAGAAGGTGAGAAACGCACGTGCGTTTGCATTGCCTCTAGTAACAGCTTTTGGAACCTGTTGAGAAGCCTGCCACGTGCTTCGCTCTCTTTACCTTTGCCTTGTGAGCCAGATAGAACCGTTTCACGGGTGAAGGGGCTCCGTTTAATGGAGCAGGGTTACGTGACGAGCTGTATGGGCATCAGACACCGCGGGATGCTGAACCCCAGGAGGAATAAGTCACGTTGATGTTTGTGATATGTGTTGATGGCGTTCTTTATGTTTTAGACTAAGCTGCACGAAGACATCTGTGAAAAGCGGACAGCAGCCACAATTGCCACCCACGACTTGCACTTGATCAAAGGTCCTCTGACATACGATGTTCAGCCTCCTGACGAACTGAAGGTAGGGCCAGTGGCACCGCTGGGCCTTCCCACTTCATTTTCCTTTTGTTTCCTGGAACTGGATAGAATGGGAAGAATTTTTTTCTTAACCCCGTGGGTCCTAGAAAACTAATTCCAGGAACTTTCATTGGGAAGCTGTACCAGGTTTCTTGCCATTCTCCTGTAACAAAGCCTGCAGGGGAAGCTTGTGGTATGTTTTGTGACAAGCTCTTAGGCTGTGCTTGTAACTTCAGTCCAGAATATAAAAACAATACTTCAACATCCTGATTTATTTAGTATTCACGTGTGTCCGTTAGTATCCTGCCTCCAGAACCTGGAGGCCTGAACACTTGGAACACTCTGACTCTTTGGGGCTGACCCAGAGGCTTTGTTGCATTCTGCTCTCTCGGCGCCTTGTGTTTGTAACAGTTCTGTGCACATGGCCTGATCCTGAGGAATAAATCCTTAGTTTTCCTGCTGGCTTACGGACCCTTTCACTCAGGACTTTTGTTACCAGACAGCAGTGACAGTGAAGGAACTGCTAAGAAAACTGTTTTCAAATGTTTGGTTTCTTGTGTGGTGTAGATCACGCCCCTGGGCCGGAAGGAGGTCAAGGCAAAGGATCTTCTCCGTCAGCTGCAGCTGGAAGCTGAGGAGCAGAGGAAACAGAAGAAGCGTCAGAACGTTTCCGGGTTGCACAAGTCAGTATAAGCAATCTCTTGTTGTTTCTTCAGGTGAATTTTGATAACTCGGGCTGGCAGGGAAAAACAGCACTGAAGACCATGTGCTCGAACGGGTTACGAAGCATGTTCTGTAGTGGTGATGGGGCTCACAGACCCGGCACGAGCTTTGAGGGGCTGAGATGAGAACACTGAGCTGAATTTATACCTAAAGGGTAACCTGGAGTGGAGTGAGAATGATGAACACATCTCTAGCTGCATCAAGAGTGAATTCTTGTCACGGGAATTGTTCTCAGAGGTGACAAATACATTTAGAACAGCAAACAGAAAGGAAAGGAAGGAGGGATGACGTGTGTGTCGTGCATTCAATAAACTAAGCAAGTCAGAGGTGCGGCAAACGTGCCTATAAGAGCTGTCAAGTGTGGCACTGCGCTGTTGACTGCTCGTGCAGAGCTCGCTGCCCGTATCCATCACTCGTGCAGCTGGGGAAATCTGCCGAGTACGTGAGGGAAAATTAAGTGTGCTGTCTGCAAGAATCCGATGGGGACTGACATTCCTGTTTGAGCACTGGGATCTCTGACAGCACTAGAAGCATGTGTAGCTACTCTGACAGCGTGGGTATTAGAATGGGAGTTACTCTACAGTTCTAGCCCATCACCTCCTGCTTTCCTCAGCTGTGTCGCCATATATTTTGCTGAATTTTAGTGCTCTGACTTCTGGTATTGCTAGGTGATAGACCAGGAACACACTGATTCGCTTTTCTCACCATTTCCTGCCCTTGTGTCCAGCTGCTGTTTCAGTTGCTCACTCTTCCACTGCTTTGTTTTTCTGGGCAGGTATCTCCAGTTACTGGATGGCAAAGATAACTACCCCTGCCTGCTGGATGCTGAAGGCAGCGTGATTTCTTTCCCACCGATAACCAACAGTGAGAAAACAAAGGTACTCTCTGGTAGTGGAAATGCGTTAATCAGTGTTTATTCTTACTTATTTCAGTCCAGCATCAAAGATGCACACGGTTCTGTGAAACTTGTGATTGCGTCCAAGTACAAATCTTCAAAGCCTGGATCCTCTCTGCTAGATTGAGATGGATCTCGGAGTTATATTTTACCGCTGTGAATCTGGAAAGCTCTGTCCCTAAGGCACTAGCCTTTGCACAAATGGCTTTGTTGGCTGCTGAGAGTGTGGGTTTGCACTTGTCCTTTGCCTCCGGTTGAATGGCACGAAAGCCTTCCATTCAGTTCGTCTTGCAGTGTGGCTGAGGCCTGTGGATGAGCACGCTCCAGTTCCTAACCTGCTTTACCTGTGAAACTCTTGCAGATCAGGAAAGACACCCGTGATCTATTTCTGGAAGTGACAAGCGATACCAGTTTACAGATCTGCAAGGATGTCATGGACACACTAATTCTGGTAAGAAGTTCAGTAAAATCATGGAATGGTTTGGGGTGGAAGGGACCTTAAAGATCATCCAGTTTCAACCCCCCTGCCATGGGCAGGGACACCTTCCACTAGACCAGGTTACTCCAAGCCTCATCCAGCCTGGCCTTGGACACTTCCAGGGACGGGGCATCCACAGGTTACCTAGGCAACCTGTCCCAGTGCCTCCCCACCCTCTCCAGGAACAATTTCTTCGTGATGTCCAATCTCAATCCACCCTCTTCCAAATTAAACCTGTTACCCCTTGTCCTGTCACTCCCTGCCCTTGTAAAAATAACCCTGTGTGTTCTGGTTGTGATTTTTAACAAAATGTTTAATTGCCCACGCATATCAAGAAAAATACAGAGATTTTAGTATTATTTACTGTTACTATAATGATTCCCTGTCCTTTACTCCTCCATTCTTGCTGCACCACAACAGGTTGTTACATTCTTACAGCCTGAGTAACCAGCAGACCTCAAAACACACAAGAGTGAACAGTGTTGTGTTACCACAGCTGGAAGTTTATGGTTTGACTTGCAATACCTTCCCCTTGTGAGTGATCTTAGGGCTGCCAAGGGATTCTTGTCGGGAGGTTTCTCACCTCCGCATGCCCGACAGCTCGCTGGCTCCTATCCTTAGTACGGAGTTCTCTTTCAGACGCTGTGTTAGCAGCAGGGCAGCCTCGTTAAATGCCATTCAACGTGCTTGCTTTTAATTAAAGCTGAATAGGGTGATGGAGAGAGTAGGAATAGTATTCCATTAAATATTTTTGCAAGATAAGCATGTTTTTCTTGCCCAGTTAACATAAACTTTCCAGCGTGGGTGTGGGCTGATCTGAGTTGACACAAGGTGGTAACAGAGACGGTTTCAAACGGACCAAAAGCGAATGCGTCTGCGCTGATCCTGCAGCAGGCTCTCGCTCCTTATAACCCAGTCCTTCAACAAAGCCCGTGTTCTCTCTTAAACATGAAAAGTTCAGCTATTCAGCGGAGTGGGACCTCCCAGAGAGCACAGCGGTGATAACTTCAAGAGCCCTGTCGCTTTCCTGAAAGATTCTAACCCAGCGAAACGTGTTTTCATGCTGCTGTTCCTTGGCCGCATCCACACCCTGGAAGCAGCTTGGAGTTGTTGAGGGCTTAGCCCCAGGATTAATCTTGTTTTCTGTATTTTGCCTTTAACAGAAAATTGCAGAACTGAACAGATTTACCTTGGAAAACAAGGAAGGCTCGGGCTCAGATAACGAATCCGATGCTCTTTGCGGACCAGCGAATTTGAACCCCAGCCAAAACGTACAGCCGGTGAATTTTCCGTTGGTAGTGGAGCAGGTTCGAGTGGTGGACACAGATGGAAACTTGAAAGTGCTTTATCCTTCAAAAACTGATCTAGCCACGGTGTCCTCTCTTCTGACTGTAACACGTTAGCAGCGATCACAGCTAAGAAAATAATTCCGTATTGTTGTCTTTTTTATTTTCCATGTTCAACAGCGTGACTTGGACACGGTGAGGTGGCTTGTTGTTTTTTTTTTAAGGGAAAGGTGCAGTGCACCCCGCCTGCCTTTACATAAAAACTTCTCCGTTTGATCGGGCAACAGCACGGAGTCGTGCGTTCCTTCGGCCTTAACAGAACGTCATCAGGATGCTGGCAGGGCAGAGGTAACAGCATCCTCAAGTGCAGCCTTGAAGGCAGAGGAGGTCTGGCAAGACAGAATGTGTCAGTTTGTAGAGAAGCGTTTATAAAACAAGCACAGCCCTGTTTTTCTGCGAGATTGCCCTTTTTTCCCAATTTGTTTCAGCTCAATTACTATTTTGTCAGCTAAAAGGAGAAATCCAGTGGGTGAGAACATGGAAACGAAGTCACGTACTGAAGGCAGAACACAAAGCTACTTCGCTCCCATCTCATTCCACGTGATTTTATTTTTATATCTGCAGTAACCGAAAATTTAATTGCTGTCAGACCTTGAGGAAGGAGTTTTTCAAGTGATGGTTTCTGTGTTCTTCCGTTTTTTAAGTGAAGTCAGGGGAATTGACTGCAGGGTTTTGCATGTCCCGGTGTATTTTAGAGCCGTCCTTTGTGGAAATGCCCGCTGTAGTGACCTTGTGTACCCGTTGAGTTACTGTTGACGGAGCGCTGAATTTGTTCTTGCTCGTGAAGTTTGGTTCCATACAGGGGGCTGACGCTGCCTTCCATCGCCCCAGAACAGAAGCATGCTTCCCAGAGTGACCCTCTGGAGCTTTCGGTCACGCTCCCACATGAAGAGTGTCGGGGACACCTTCCAAATTACAGGTAGTTCAAGTGGTTCTAATCTTTGCAGTCTGCATGTGACTTACACCCAGGGTACTACCTGTACGAATGCAAACCTCTCCATGAGCTAGGGGAAACCTACAGATCAGCTTTTCCGTCCGTTAAAAATGCCACAGAGGTCTAACTGAACTTGTAGCTACCGTGTCAAATACGTCCACGTGGTGGGACGGAAAAATAAAACGGTTCTTGCAGTCACGTTGCTGTCGCTTGTTCTGGCGTGGGTGAATTTTCCAGTCGTGTAACTGCACAGACCTGCCCGAGGCGCTACCTTGTGGGACTCTTTCTCCTTCCCTTAGCGCTGGTGGGCGACGAAGCAGACGTGTCAATGCTGTGGAGTGATGGAACCTTGACGCCTTTCTGTTTCAGCATCTGAGAGAACTCCATCCGTTCGTTAATTATTTTCTAAAAATTAGGGGTGGGAAAGCATTAGGCAGAGAGCAGCACAGCAAAGTGTTCCCTTGTCTCATCGCTCCCTTGCCGGCTGCTCGAAGCAGAGTCCCAAAGAGGCACGTACCTGCATGGCCTCCAGCACCTCCTCATCCGTGACCTCGGCCTGGGGCGGCTTGCTGCCTGCCGTGCTGAACGCAGCCTGAATTATTTTGCTCCGAAATCTTTCAAACTTTGGATAAAAGAGGAAAGAAGTCGGTGTGTTTAGTCATTGACGTTTGCATGGATTTAGAGATTACACATCAGGCTTGAACAAAGTACTAGTGAGTGATGAAATGGAAAGACCTTTTATGTGAAATTAGGGGCAGTTTGACCAGGCTTCACTGCAGGGACCGTGATTATGATGTGTTTCTGGGCAGACTGAGTCCCCTACCCCCAAACACTGGGCTCTGTGTGTGGTACAGCAGCCTTGAGCCCCACCCCAGACCTATGAAAATGGGCTTTAAGGGGGTACCTGTTGTTCTGTGTCTGGAAGGCTATTAGAAATCTGGCAATGTAACTGAATTGGAGTTTCTCAAGAGCTTCTGGTATTTAAGGCCTGTTTGCTTTCACAGTGACATAAGAACTGCATGCTAAAAAGCTGGGAAGCAAATGGGCTGTTTCCTGCTCCTCTGGCCCTGTGGCTCCAAAGGGAAGCCGGGCTGTGAGAGCAAAGGACTGCAGTGCGCTGGTGCTTCTGCCCAAGAAGGTCTCTAGGCTGTCAGACTCTCTGGGATGGTTGGAGTGTCTCCGAAAGGGACTCAGCTCCGCTTACCCTGCTGGTGATGCATTCGAGTGCCACTCTGGTTTGCAGCTCCCTGTGCTGCAGCATCTCAGCTTGGCTCTGCATCGCCTCCTGGGCCTGCTGCTGCTTGTGGATGTGGTACCGGCTGGTCAGAACCTCTGCCTGTAGCCGGCTGACTGTCCCCTGTAACTCGCTGATCAGCTTGTTCTGCTCAGCCAGTTGGGATTCTTGCTCTGTAACAACCTGAGGAGACATGGAAATCAAACCATGGGTGTGAGGAAGAAAGAGAGCCGGCTCGGCTGCTTCTTCCCCGTGTCTGGTTCAAACGCTTCTTGAATATCCTGGGCAAAGTCTATGGACTAACAACCCTGCCAGTACTGGTAACTTGGTGTTTTTTCTAAAACTATTGGATCGAGCAGGTTTTAGTTTTCAGTTTTTTATGTGGCCAACTTCCCCCAGCGTAAAACAAGCCCAGCTAAGCAGCTAGTACAAGATTTTTATCTCTTGGCTTTAGACCGTATTTACCTGCCGAAGGCTGCAGTTCTCCTTCTCTATTGTCACCGTCATGTCTTCATGTTTCTGTTCGTCCCTCAGACTGCAAAACTTAAAGAGAAAACACTTTACACTTCAGTGCTGTAATTCACGGTGCACGGTGTAGGAGAAAGGGAACTGTTGCCTAAAGCCCGCATTCCCCGCTGCCTGCTCTCCTAACGACGAGGACCACCGTCCTCTCGGGGCAGTACCTTGGTAGACATGGCTTGTAGCTGATTTTCTCGCTCTCTGAGCTTCTTTTGGAGCGTTTCCTTTTCAGATTCGGTTTTCCGAAGTTGGGATTCTTGGATCTCCAGTTGTCTTTGCAAGGAAGAGATGGCACCTGTAAGGTTGGAGTGCTACTGTCAGCAAACCCAATCCCTGCCAGAAGCTTCGCGGCCCCTTTTCCAGGTAAGGATCAGCAGAGCTGATGTATACCCCCCGAGTATGTCCCGTGAGTGAGGTTAGTGCTCCAGCCGCTGGTTAGTAACGCGTTGTGGGGTACTGTGCTGTGATATATCTCAAACTGACTTCACTGCGTGAGGAGTAGCAGAGCTGGCAATGCAGGTGGGTGCCCCAGGATACTGCCCGGGGCTTCCTCAGGCTTCTGAGAGGGCAGGAAAGTGGTTTCCAAACAAGTTTCAGCCCCGCTGAGCAGCAGTCGAAGGCAGGTTTTGCCCTCCTGAGATCCCAACCCGGTTCTTTCTCTAGGCGAGGAGCGGAATGGCAAGGCACGGCCTCCCCGTGGTACCTGTGGCCATGTTGTAGTCGTCCTTTGCTTTTTGCAGCTCCTCACGGAGCTCCCGGTCGCCTTCCTGGATTTCGGGGAGCC